TCTAATCCGATAATTCTACTGACAACTCATAGGAGAGTCCAAAGCTAATCGAGAAGTGAAACCAGAAAGAGTGGTCATATATACTCATATCTTGTAGCAGTTAGGGTTCAATCAGGGAAGCAGAACCAGTATGAGTGATATTGATAAGGGAATTATCATAAGTGATAATAAATTTGGGGGAACCAGGAAAGAAATCTATGGAAGGTTATTGCCTTTGCATCTGGTGGTGGACTTGATGCTGATGTAGGTAAGCAAGGTTGGCAGTCTGGAAAAAGAAGCTGGACATGAAAAATGGTTAAAAGGGTAAATTTTATGTAATGTGTTTTTAACCACAACAATAATTTAAAAAGCTGGACTTGAAGCATGGAATCATGGGAACATATTGGAACCTGCATCTTTCTCTCATTGTCTCTAATCTTGACCATATGGATGACCTGCAGAAGAAGGTGGCACTCATCATCATGGAATTGCGCAAGTACGTGGTCCAAGGCTCGGGGAGGCTGAAGGAGGAGATTGACGAGAGCAGGAGAAGCTGCAGACCCAGTGATGGTCCTGTGCTAACAAGGTGTGCCAGCAGATCAGCAGCAGTGGGTGCACGGTGCAGCAGCACCCGGCCCTCTACATCCACCTTTGGAGCATCTTGGCTGCTGCCTCACTTCTGCGTTCCAGATCTCATGCAAATTTCTAATGTGGCGAACCTTAACCCAGAACTGTTCAGAGAAGGGAATTCTGGCAAATCTAGTTCCAGCTTAGCTAATTGACACAGGACAACTCTAAAGCTGTTAAAAGTAGAGGGCTGGATAGCGCCATGGAGGGCAGAAAGTGGGAATATTGGAAACTGCATACACAGTATGTGTGCTCACAGGTGGTGCAGGCTTTCTAGAGGATACAATCTAGCAGTCCTCAACAAAATTAATTATGTGCATATCATATGGCCTAGCAATCATAGTTTTGATTTTATGTCTCAAAGAAATTTTCACATAGATTTAGAGAAGATGGATATGAGAAGAATCTTCAAGTCATTATGGTGGTGAGAGTTGGGATCCATTTGGGTGTTCATCTCTGGATTGGTGGTCAGGTAAGAAGTGATAAATGTGCACTAAGAAAGATGATGCAGCTGTAGGAAGAAGCAGACTAGACACTCAGATACAATAACTATGATTGGGTATTAATAATAGAGCTGAGTAAAAAAAGGAGGAAAATAAAGTCTATCACACAATGGCAATTTATGTATATTAAAAATGTATGTACGTAAAACAGAAATATGCACTTCGTAAGAACACAAAATAATATGCATTAGACATTAGAATGCTTGCCTTTGGTGGGGAGGAGAATGCAGACAAAAGGCAATAGATGAGAGAGAGAATTAATGAACTTTAATTCTTCATTTAATGCCTCTCTTGCACCACAGAGGATATATTTATCAGTATGAAGTCCTATAAAATTGGCTCCAATGAGTGAAATCTGCTTAACTTCAAGCTAAGATTCAATTTTCTCCACTAAAATAAAGTATGCAAGCCACCTTGGTGGAAGGGACAATCTTTCTTGAAGAAATTAATTTGTTCTTTCCTCTCTCGTCTCCAACCCTCTGATGTTAAAGATCTTGCCGATTTACCCAGTGGTTTCCCAATCTGGCTTCACATTAGAATCACCTTGGGACGGTTTAAAAAAAAAAATCCATGTGGGTGGGTCCACTCCTGTGGTACTGATTTAATGCCTTATAAACTCCCCAGAAGATTCAACTAGGTAGTTGAAAGTTGAGAACAACTGTCCTAACATTTTCTCTCCAGGCTATTTCTCTTTTCACCAACAAATATTGTGATAAATTCTCTGGTTTCCTGTGGAACTCTAGAAATGCAATGCCTTCCTTCAAATTCTAAGACTAGATCTCTACTAAATATATTTTTCCCCCTTTATCTAAAAAACAGCATGAGGTCAAAATCGGAAAGAATCAAGGCTAATTTCTGATCATTGGTTTCACTTCATTTGATGGATCGCCTTTCAGGCCTCTAGTAACAGCAATCCTCATCCATCATAACCTTTTACTGTCTTACAATTATACTAAATAATATAATTTCTAGAAGGGCATGGTCTCAAAGCAGTGACTTAAAAACTTACAAAGTTAAAAACTAGTGGGCCGGCCCTGTGGCTTAGCGGTTAAGTGTGCGCGCTCCGCTACTGGCGGCCCGGGGTTCGGATCCCGGGCGCGCACCGACGCACTGCTTCTCCAGCCATGCTGAGGCCGCGTCCCACATACAGCCACTAGAAGGATGTGCAGCTATGACATACAACTATCTACTGGGGCTTTGGGGGAAAAATAAATAAATTAAAAAAAAAACAAAAAAAACCAAAAAAAAAACTAGTAAGCGATGAATCAAACACATTTAACAAAGTCAGAGACCTTAGATGGTTAACTATTTTTATCAATAAAGTTTACACTTATTAAGATAAATAAAGGTACTGTCTCCAGAAGAGCATAATTCTAGGATGTGCACACATCAGCGTGAGTGTGGGTGTAAGCATAAAACCAACAACGCAAGCAAGGATATTTAGTAACTGGATTAGGACAAGCAAGTCTTGAGCAATATATCACTTTCCCAAGAGTCTAATGTGTCCCTTGTGAATCAACAGCTAGAATATCAACTTCATTCAAATAAAGATTTATTTTTTCCCTTTGGAAATTAGCAACTTGAATTTTGAACTTGATTATTCATTAGGATATTTCAGCACCAAAAGCTAGTCAGCCTCTTAGAAAATGTTTTCTTGTAACTGGAGGATATTGCGGGCCAGTGGAGGAAAACTCCATGAATCTTCTGATGAAATCAGTTTCTCGTAACCGTTCTCTCTCAAGAATTGAAGAGGCTTCTCGTTTTTGTTTATTTCTTTTGAATGCATGTAAAGATCTTAGTTGCTAAGACCTCTACATGCACTCTATCATTTAATCTTTATACTGTTCTCTAAGGTGGGGACTATGATCTTGAACTTAAAAATGAGATAACTGACCTCTTTGAGTTTAAGTAACTTCCTTTCAGAGTTCTTTCTTTCTATACCTTTGAATTCGAAACAAGTATGTTGAAAGGAACTACTGTTTTTTTTTTTTTCACTTGCTGATATTGCTTCCTCACCTTCCCTTAAGGCACTCTGTTGCCGTTCCTTTCTTCTTCTTCAGTATTCAATTTGCAATGGCTCTGGCTAAAATGAGGCAGGGAGGATCATATCTCTTCTCACCATCCTTTTAGCTATTTCCTCATGACTTCTGTTCAGGTCTTCTCTGCCATCATCCCTCCCTTCACTCTGAGGCAGTCCCTTCAGAGCCTCTGCTATAGGCTCAGGTGCCAGCCCTGGTCACAGAGTTCCTATGCATTACCTTTTCCTGGCTGCAGGGCCCCTGCTCACTTCATATTCAGTGCCACAGAGTTCACAATCTCCCCTTCCCAATCTGGCTCTCTTTCTCTTTCCTGTGACCAAGTCCCCACTTATACTCCAGTTTCCAGAACTAGGACCTCGTCTAGTTTGCCAAGAACATTCTTCTCTTTCTCACAGACTCCCCAGACCTGCAGATCAGAGGCTGGGCTCCACTTCTAGGTCTTCCTCACAGGTCCTGCCATGTGACTTTCCTAAGGATTCTGATATGAATCTTTACACGGTATCTATTTACTTACTCCCAGTCTCTTGGCTCTGATCTTTCCATCATCTATTTCAGGACACTTATTTGTTTAGGATGATGCTATAATTTATCTTCTAAACTAGGACATTTTGAAAGTGAAAGTGATACCAAGTAATGGGCTCACTCTGCTTGCTGCAATCTGATCCAATTAATCACAACCAGTTAGGGATCAAGAAAGGAAGTTTTAATCAGATTAGCTGGCATAATCGGAGAGATAGCAGACTAATGTTTCAAAAAAACCATCTTCAAGTATTACAGAATCTTGAGGCAGTTATATAGAGAAAATGGGCAGTGAGGAGGGGGTCCAGGGACGTTGGTCTCCAGGCGTGACAGGCTCCAGGCATCACATTGTTCCATTCTTTTGTCAGCTGTGGTGGATACCTTGTAAGTGTGTTTCCCACCTGTGGTCGGCCTGTTCCTGGAAAGAAGCTCATAGGACAAAGTTTTAATTTATGAAGCTATAAGGGGGTACATGCATAAGTGGAGGCCATAAATCAGGAAAGCATGTGAAATATTTTAGAGTATGTGAAGAGCAGTGAGTAGTCACACAGAGGAGGGGCTGGAGTCATTTAGTGTAACAAGATGGTCTCACTTATGTTCACTTACAAAAGGACACATTATTACAATCACACTGGGGTCACAGGCATGACTCTGAATTCACCCTACCCAGCTCCTGGTTTTGCACACAGCTTGGCCAGTTATCATGGGATGTTGAGAAAGCTGATTAACATCTCTATGCCATAGTTTTTTCTTCCATAAAATTGGGTTAATAGTTGTACCTAGGTCTTGGGACATTGTGAGGATGACATGAGTTAACACAAGGAAAGCATTTAGAACGGTGACTGGTACATAGTAATCATTCGGTGCATTTAAACTACCGTTTTCATCACTTTTATACCGACGATGTTGCAGAATTAATTAACCTTTCTAAGTCTGCAAGAATTGAACAGCATAATGCATGCAACCACCCTCCCTCCTCCAGACATGACTCTTACTATCCGACTTTGTCTCTTCTGACTATGCAAATAACTGTTCTAACCTCCATTCCACAACCCTTTCCCACCCACCTACTCATTTCTTCTGCGTGTATTTCTTGTTCCAACAATGTGTTAAGCAATATCTCAAAGCCAGGAGAGAGTTACTGCTGACACTAGTTTCCTAATCAACAAAGAGCCTTCAGGAAGCACAGTGCAATCTGAGGGGCCTCGGATGCGGGTGTGGTTAGCATACTCTCCAGTCCACCCATGAAACATTTTCACTGACTTCTCTAAAGTATTGCATTAGGCAACGATACGATTCTTTAAGCCCGAGTTAGAAGAGGCTGCTGTTTTCTGGAAGAGACACTATGGCGATCCTTATTGAGTGTCTCCCAGTCGCGACAAGATGGGCTTGAGAGGAAAGAAGTCTGCCAAGGCCTGAAGCTCCAAGGTAAACCCTATAGATTCTCTCCCCACAGAAAGCCCCCTTTCTTTATTGTCTGTTAAAGGTGCCACCCAGTGGGCCACTGTGGTTGCCTGCAAAGTTTTCTGTTTGGTTGTAATGCAGAGATTTGGAACATTTAGCTATGAGGATGGCTGCCCCTAGAATTTGATTGTTACTCTGGTGCCATGGTAAAAAAATGCTAGATGTAATTATATAATTATTTCTTTGGAAAAACGTGGGCATGGCCACATACACATGCACACACACACTCCTTAGATATATTAAATCCAAGTGGCTGCCCCCAGATTTGGCTGCCAGCTCTGGTAATGAAGGATGGTCTGGATGTATCTGAGGTATGGGATTTGGTGATTGAGTGTCTGCATAAGCTCAGAGGGACAGTAATGATACTATAGGACCAGACTACCACGTTCTCTTCCCCAGCTCCTCAAATTGCTGGCTGTGTGACCTTGGGCAAATTACTTAACTCCTCTAATGCTCAGCTTTCTCATGTGTAAAATGGAAAAGATCATAACAGTAGTCTATTCATATGGATGTTGTGAGAACTAAATTGGTGAACATGAGCAAAATAATGCCTGACACGCACTGAAAGCTAGATAGGTGAACTTAACTTGTGGGTTCTTAATAAATCTACACTTCTCCCATTAAAAAAAAAAGCTAAATTGACCAAATTATAGAACATAGTTTATTTTACTTGAAGGCGGAAAATTCTGCCTGATATTTACGGTTATTTTAAAAAGTCAAATTAAATAATGTGGTTGAAATAGATTTTATTTTCCCTCCAGAACTGCTCTAGAGTTTCTCTGTATGAAAGGCTCCGATCCTTACAAACATATTTTCCATTATCATCCGTAAGGCATGGCTATATCAGACTGGATCAAAAGTTCATTCATTTACTAAACATGTATAGCCGAGTGCCCACCATATGACAGACACTGAGCCAGGCACTGGAGTTACAATGATGAGAAGACAGTGAGATACAGATAAGTACCCAGTTAATTGAGGCTGAGACTGATAAGTATAGAAGGGAAGCAGAGGGAATTCTGAGAGTTACTATAAGGGGTGCTTCACCCAGGCTTGGCCAGGACTGAAAAAGGCTTCCTTCATGAAAGTAGGAGCATGGGCTGAGATTCAGTCTGGAAGAAGAGCAGAAATTATCCAGGTGGAGCTTGGGGGGAAATGTCTTTCAGGGAGAAGGGAACAGTACTGAAGCCAGGTACCTGAAGGGTACTGTAGATATTAATTAACCAATTTGCTGTTTTTCCTGTTTAACTGGAGGGATGACTCAGGGATCTTGAAGAATCGTGAGCTGGTTTGGCAGAAGAAAGAGAATGCCTTTGGGGAGGTTGTGATCACCAGATAGCTGGTCCTCAGCAGCCATTGAAGCCCAGAAGTCAGAATGCCCAGGGGCTTATGGAGAGTGACCCCTTTGTTTCCCTGAACCTCCTCCTGCCAAGCCCTTTAGCTCTATAAAGAGCTTTCTGTTCTTGGGGAGGTGGATTTGAGTGAACTCAGGCTCCCAGCTAGTCATTTTGGCCAATTCAAATAAATCTTTCTCCATTTCTAAGCACCGATGTCTCAGTGTTTGGCTTCGTGTGCATTGGGCACACAAATTTGAGATTAAGAAGTTCGTTATCAGTACTGAGAAGGATTCAAGACTTTTGAGAGCTTGACACTTGGGAGGATTGAAAGAAATAAAACAAGGCTGGCCTGAGCTATGAGATAGGGAGGGGTGAGGAATGAAGCTGGAGATACAGGCAAGTAACTGATCATTAAGGAGCAATGCTCCCAACATTACATACATTTTAGCATATTAGATATTTTATCTAAAATATATATGTATTTCCCAATGGATAAATTTTAAGCCTAGGCTTTGCAAGGTGATGTTTAACATAGATAAGAGAAGGAATTAAAGAATATTATTCTACTTTTGGCCATTCTTATTATTATACATCTTGAACAGAATTACATTAGGCGTTCCTTAAAATAGAGTTTGTTGTAACCTTTTTTGATCCTCCCTTATTCTTGGATTCCGCACACAGTGTTGAGCTTAGGAGGTAAGGGCTCCTTGTCATTTCACATTTATCAGTGTTTAAAAAGAATTGGTAGGAAACTTTTATGAGGGGTGAAATAGCAATTACCAACGTGATCAAGTTAAAGTTCGAATGTGCTCTGACTGTCACTTTCTTAGTGCCTTGGTGATTGAATAAGCGTGATACATACCCCCTGCCATAGAGAACTAGAAAGGTAAGTATTATCCTGAATGAAAGTGGAATAGATTTATTTTGACAAAAATGAGTAATTATTAGAAAAATGGATCTGCCATATAATTTCCAACAAAAAGTAGAAATTAAGATTATTCTAAACTCAAAGTCAATAGTTTTAGCAGAATTCAGCACTATTTATAGTTAATCTCATACCATCCACCTCATCACTTGTAAGGGCATATAAGTATTTTGTAATCTTTTGTACAAAAGTATTTTGTAATATTTTGTATTTTGAGGACACTATGTACTGGGAAGTTACATTGTTCAAGATTAAACATACAGTCATGTAACACAGAACGACGTTTTGGTCAATGGTGGACCACATATACAACAGTGGTCCCCTAGCATTAGTATCTTAGAACGACATTTTGGTCAATGGTGGACCACATATACAACAGTGGTCCCCTAGGATTAGTATCTTTTAGTCTAGGTGTGTAGTAGGCTATACCAGCTAGGTTTGCGTAAGTACACTCTATGATGTTTGCACAATGACCAAATTGCCTAATGATACATTTCTCAGAACACATCCCTGTTGTTAAGCAATGCATGACTGCACTGTGTATATTTTAGTGATACATATTTTTCAGCTGTAATGATTGAGGTGGTTATTTGGTGACCGTTATATACAATACTTAAAGTTCTTTTTGATTCAAGGCAGAGTATAAATTAAATGTCAACATTTACCAATTGTTTATTAGGTTAAGGGCTTCATACATTATCAAAGTTTCCCCTTGCAATGTTAATATGAAATTGAAATTATTTCTATTTTACAGGTGAGAAAACTGAGGTTCTTACTACTAGCTCATACAACTAGTAAGTGGCCAAATTTGAATTTGAACTTGGCTCTTCCATAGTGCTTAAACTCTTTCCGCTGTGCTATTTTGCTCCCCAGAAAGGTATCTTCCATATAGTACTATATAGTATAATGATTAAAAAACTGTTGGACGTTAAAGTAGAATGTCTCTAATAGAATCTGAACTCACTTATGAGCTGTATAAATTTGGGTAAGTTGCTCAACCTCTCTATGCCTCAATTTTCTCATCTTTAAAATGGGAATAATAACACTGCAACATAGAGTTATTGGGAAGATTAAATATGTTAACACATTCACGAGACATAACACAGCAACGAGACAGTGCTTGGCACATGGCAGTAAGCACTCCATAAATTACACCTATTGTTATTACTGGAATGTGACTAAAGCCATCTTCCTCACACAAGAGATCACTGGTCATTGAAAACAAATGTCTGATTGTCCAGGATTGATTTGAAGAGAGGCAGGGACTATACAATATATAATCGCATGTAAAAATGGGAAAAGGAATTGCTCTTTATCAAAGTTCAGTGAAGCACCCAGGCCTACTACAATGATTTTATGATGTCCACTACTCCAAGACAAAATAGAGTTAAACAGTGTAAACACTATTATTCTGCCCTCCTGCCCCATTTGTGGAGTCATTTTGATGTATGGATAGATTGAACCCTTCTGTTGCACTCAAAAAATATTACTGCTAGTGATAAAAAGGAAAACATGAAACCTTTAGATTTTTTTTTCTATGACAGCCATCAACAACCCCAAATGGCCTCCCAAGAAGTTGGTAATGCAGAGCTGGGGACAGCCTCAGCAAGTGGTACCCCAGGAAGCCATGTGGAACCAGGGGTGGTGAAAAATTCTGCCTACCAGCCCATTGATAGATCACAAAATTACCAAAAAGTGGATCTTCAAGCCCTTGGGGTAAGTCAGCTTTAATTAAGAAATTGGTTTATGAAGGAAGAAAATAAATGTCATGTGGAAAACCTCGTTTATGGCCATAAGGAGGAATTTCTGAGTTACTCATCACTGAGTCAGTAATAATGTTGCTCCTTTAAGAGAAGTCTGGGACATATTTTAGACCTGGGAAGTAGAAATGCAGAGGCATAATCTCATAGCAGGAAACATCCTATCAACATTGGAGAATGGACTCCAATCTCACCATCCACATCAGGAGGCTGAGCTCTGTGAACTCATATTCTGTATTTTAAACTTAAAAATTGGGTTGAGGGAAAGGCTGAGTAGAATGCTGCTTAATGTCTGTCTGCGTTCATCATATTATGGCCCCAAAGCATGCTGGGAAGGTCGCTTGACTCAATCGGTATTATCAGCCACATCTCCTTTACTCTCCTACCACTTTCCCAAAGGATGTGGGAGAGGTGAAGAGGAAGGGTTGGTGGGACTAGCATGGAACAAAAACCTCCCAGGGTAAGCTCTTGCCCAGTTAATTTAAGCTTGACTTTTAAACCATTTCAAGCGCTGACATCTCCTTTCTGAGGAAAATTAAAATAGTCTCTTCTCAATGTGCACTGGTATATGACCATTACGTTTTTGATTTGCTTTTTTTTTTTTTTTCCTTCTTACAGGCCATCCAGATCCTGAATGGAGCAATAATTCTGGCTCTGGGTGTTTTTCTGGGTTCCTTACAATCCTTACCCCATCTCCTCGACAGCTATTTGTCTACCTTCTACACAGGCTATCCGCTATGGGGCACTTCATTTGTGAGTATTCAGATTCCCCTAACCATAGATCACTTCTTAGATACCATTGCTAGCTATGTGTTTGATTGTTAAAGTATTGTTCTTAGGTTATTTGAAGGTTGCATGCTGTGGGTTCGATTTGTAATTCTTGACACAAACAAGTTTTAAAAACACAGCGTCTTCCCTTCTGATTAAAAGAAATCACATTTGCTGAGTACAAATTAACTCCTGAATGTTAACTTAAAACACATGTATTAAATTTATGGATACTAAGAAAATTGAATGAAAAATGAGTATTGGTGAATTACCTTGTGGTATAGCCAAGAAAGTCCTACTTTGGGAAATCAGAGATTTACCTGCTGCTAACTGTCTGAAAATCAGAAGAGTAATTTCCCCTATTTGAGTCAAAAGTAATCAGTAAAAATAGGCTTTGAGTCTAGCTGATTTTTAAAATTTATTTATTCAGCTTTGTCATTTGATTGTCTTATCTGATGATTCATTTTTTAAAAACTGGTTAATAGGAACTATTTGTTAATCACCTGATATTGTCTTTTTTTATGCTACCATGAAATCTAAGATGGGAAAGTTTAGTTGAAAATGGTGACTACAACATGTAAGTGGCAAATGGAGAAGAAAGAAATTTATAACAAGTCTTGGGCTCTAATTTATTCATGATTTTGTTTTTTCAAAATCACTGACCTTCAGATCTCCTTTAAAAAGAAATTGCTCAGGTCGGCCTGTGGCTTAGCGGTTAAGTGCGCGCTCTCTGCTACTGGCGGACCGGTTCCGATCCTGGGCGCACTCTGACGCACTGCTTGTCCGGCCATGCTGAGGCCGCGTCCCACATACAGCAACTAGAAGGATGTGCAACAATGACATACAACTATCTACTGGGGCTTTGGGGGAAAAAAAAGGAGGAGGATTGGCAATAGATGTTAGCTCAGAGCTGGTCTTCCTCAGCAAAAAAAAGAAATTGCTCTTGGGGCTGGCCCCATGGCCTAGTGGTTAATTTCGGCACATTTCTCTTTGGCGGAATGGGTCCTGGGTGTGGACCTACACCACTCATCAGTGGCCATGCTGTGGCAGTGACCCACACACAAACTAGAGGAAAACTGGCACAAATGTTAGCTGAGGACACATCTTCCTCAGCAGGAAAAAAAAAAAAAAAGAAATTGCTCATATTTGACCAAAATTTCTTGGCTTAAATCAGATCTCATATTCTGACAAAAGATTATCTTCTGTTTCTGTATATAGTCTAAGACATGTAATTTGAATTTAACATTTCTGATATTTTTAATTGGTTAATATCATTTTGATGGAATAGTTAAAACATGAATTTTTCTAGAAAACCTGGGGTACACATTTGCTCTGCATGATGAATCCTGACTACCTAAATGGAAATTTTCCATACTGGAAAAAGGGGAATAATGAAGTATCTCAACTGTTCAATCAGAAAAGAGTCTTCTTTTCTCAGAAAGTGAGGTCAGTTTGTTGAAAAAAGAGCCTTAGTCAGGGAGCCAGAGTTTCACTCTTTTAGCATCCTCAGCACTAAAAGATTCAAATCTGACCATTGGATTCCCATTGCTGGAAGCTTCTCTCTGGCTCTGTGTCACCTACAGAGCAAAGGCTAAGGTCCATGACATGGCACAAAGCCCTTCATATCTGGCCTTACCTACAATTGTAGGTACCCTCTGTGTACATGCTTTGCTGTATATTGACTGTGATACCTTCTATTCGCCTAATCTTTCTCTTAGTAATTCTTAGTAACTGTGTGACTTTGGAAAATATATGTGAACTCTTGCCCTTCAATTCCTCACTAGGATGGTAGAAATAATATAAGGACCTTCTCTTTGGGTCACTGTTAAATTAAATGGAAATTAAATGGAAAAATGTATATATAAACCTTAGCTATTGTTAATAATTTGAGTGCTTTCTCTAGGCTGGGCACATATCTGAGCCCTTACTATGTGTTATGTCATTTTATCCCTGTACAGCTATAAGGTAAGTAATATTAACACGGGGATATGCGGGATCTCTATTTTACAGAAAAAGAAACTGAGGCAAAGAAGGATTTGATCATTTGTCTAAAGTGACAGAATGAATATGAGCTGAAGATGGGATCAGCACACAGAGCATATGCTCTTAATCATAAAGCTGTAGTGACTGGCGTGACCTGTGATAACCTTTCTTATTTGAAATAGAATTTAAAGCCTGTTCCTTCGTGTTCAGCCAGAATTCAATCATTGAATTTTATGTAGCAAGCCTTCACTCTCCATAATTTTGGCACCTTTTCCCACAAACCATAGGTGTGGCTTGATAAGTGGTTGTAAGATTTATGAGGTAAAAAAACAGAATGAAGCTTTGAGAAAACCATGACCATGTAGAGAATTCAATTTATCAAAATTAGAGTCATAGAAACAATAGCATATCAAAATAATAATTTAAAAATTAGTGGATATATCAATATAGACATTTAGATTTGTAAAAGATCTTTTAGAACATCTAGTCCAATAAATCAAACCCTTATCTGAAGCTTGGGTAAGAAAATGAGAATGTGTATGTAAATAAATATTATTCACATTTGGTATAAATATAAGAGTAAAGATAACTATATTACATTAAATATATATTTATTATATGTTTTTAAAGTATGCACAGTCCGATAAACCTGTAAAAACCAGACATAAAAGAAAATGGAAATATTATCAATGTACTCAAAATTTAAGTTAATTTAAAATTGTGTTCACATAAAATGATGAACAACTTCAAGTACAACTTTGTGTTCTACGACATGAATTTAAAAAAGAAGTTTTGTATGACTATTGCTAGATATCTGCTAAGCAAGGGAGGAACAAGAAAAAATCGTTGAGACTTAAAATTCCTTTACCTGCCTCATTTCCTATTTTTGAACAGTATATTATTTCAGGATCCTTATCTGTTGCAGCTGGGATAAAACCCACAAGAAAACTGGTGAGTGGCAATTCTTCCTCTTTTTCTATATAACGATAAGAGTAGAAATAAGTTATCCATTAATAGTAGAGAGTAGAGTTTGGTGAATCCAACTGAGACACTAAGTCTCATTTAATGTACAAGAAAATTAATTTTCTTCTCTAATGGCATTCAGATGGAAGATCACCAGAAAATCATATAGATTGTGAATATGATTACTGGGATGGTTACTACGAATATTTGATGAATCTGAAGCTTGGAAAAAGGCTTCTTGATTTCTGTATGTTATTAAATTTGACCAATTCTAATTATTTTGAGTGTACACACTCGCACCACTAGTTCCACAACAGAAAGCCAAAATTCTATTCCATTGGTGATTCATTGAACAATTACTGAGTCTCTATTATTCCTTCTCATTGAATCATCTACCCATTTATGATATTTTTCCAGTCCATTCACTCTCTCTCCTTCCTAGATGGCTATTTCATCTTTATATTCTATCCTCAAACACCAATCCCTTTTCTCTAATCCTTACTCTCTGTTAATGACATTGCTTCCTATTCTGAGAAACTCCAGCCATCAGAAGAGAATTTTCAGACCACTATAACATCTATTTAATGGTCCAGATCTGCACCAATATATTTTTTCATTCTAACCTCTTACCATAGGAGACCTCTCTGTGATTTTTTTCAAAGCCAGTACCCGTACCAGAATAATAGATTTTGTACCTTTTTCCCCACACAAGTTCATCACTCCAATTTTTCTCTTTCTACTAGATTTTTAAAAATTAGCCTATAAACATTTAGTTACTGTTCTTAACTTAAAAGAAAAGAAAATATCTTGACCTTATTTTCTCCTGCTGGCTACTGGCACAACATGTTTTTCGTTCTATAGCTAAACTTCTTAAAGGAATTGTCTATGCTTTGTCTTCAGTTCCTATCTACCCAGTTTCAACTAAATCCATTCCAGTGAGGCTTTATTTTCTTCTCTTCCGTACCTCTGTAACTGCTCTCTTTAAGAGCACTGAAGATTTCCACGTTGGTAACATAGTGTTCAATTCTCAATCCTCATTTAACTTGACCCACGAGCAGCATTTAGTACACAGTTGGTCACTCACTCTTCCTTCCAATAATTTCTTCATTTGGTTTCCAGGACACCTTGATTGGCTGGTTTTCTTTCTGTCTTTTTGGTTTTTCCTTCTCAATCTCCTTTTCTAGTTCCTTTTCTTCTCTCTGACCTTTTAATATTGGGGTGCCCCAGACCTCAATTTCTTGTTACCTGCTCCACTCACTCTTTTGGTGATCTCATCATCCATTCTCATGGCTTCAAGTAACATCTATATGCCCACAACCTTGAAATAAATACTTCCCACCTAGATCTCTCTCCTGAGCATCGGACTGACATATCTATTGCCTTCAGCTAGATGTCTAAGAGGTCCAAACTCTACTCCTAATCTTCCTCTTTAACCCTTCTCCATCCACTCTCTTCTTCATGTCAGCTCATGGGAATTCCATCTCCCCAGATTCCCAGGCCAAAACCTTAGACTTATCCTTGGTTCTTCTTTCTTTGACAATCTTGAATCCAGCAAATCCTGTCAGCCCTACATTCAAGCCATATCTGAGTTTGACCTTTTTTCATCTTTCTATTGATAACACCTCATCCAATCTACCATGGTCTCTTAATTGGACTCCTTGCTTCCACCCTTGGCCCTCTCTAAACTAGTTTCACTTGAGACATCAGAGTGTTAACCTAAAAATAAAGAGCCAAAATGAGAGACAGAGAGGCATTTATTTTGGGATCAAAGAATTGCAATTTTGGGTGCACAGATTTGGGTAGAAACCCAAATAATGTCCCACTAGGGAGTCAGGGGCTTTTAAAGGCAAAAGAGGGAGGTTGGTTTGCATTACAAAGAATGTAAATTGAGCTTGGCAGCAGAAAGCTAATCTTAGCTAAATTGATTGCTAAGGCTAGCTAGAGTGAAGCAAAAGTCCAGCATTTTCAGAATATTTGTGTCTTTAATTTCAAAAGTTTACTATCTGCCCGGTGAGGACTTGCATAAAACCCATTTCCTTAATGACTTCCCGGTTCCATTTTAAAGGCTGTAGAAGTAAGTGATCCAGTTTTGTTTCACATTTCACTAGAGTGTTCCCCTTAAAATATAAATCTAATTGTGTCGCTCCTTTGCTCAAAATCCTCTACTGGTTCTATATTTTCCTCAGCGTAAGAACAAAAGTACTTTCCTTGACCTGCAGGACCCTACATAATCTGGCTTCCTGGTCACTCTCCATCTTCATTTCCTAATATTGTTTACATTGCTCACTCCTCTCCAACCTCCTTACTCCCTCTTGCTTCCTTGGAACACTCTGGCATTGGGGCTTTGAACTGAGTGCTTCCTCGACGGCAAGGACATTCCTCCAGACATCCTCATGGCTAACTCCCTCAGTTCTTTAAAGCCTCTCCCCAAGTGTCATTCATACTGAATATCACAAACCTCCACTCCTTTCTTTGGGTTTCCACATCCTCTTTACTTCACTCTATTATCCCATAGTACTTAATTACTTTAAAAAATACTAGATAATTCACCTATTAGTATTCTTAACTGTTTTCTTTGTCTTTGCTGCTTAGACTTCACGAGGGTGGGGATCTTTGTTCATTGATGTTTTCCCAGCATCTAGAATCTTACTAGGTGTGTTACTGAACCAGGTTTGTTTTGTCCATTGCGTGGAAAGCCAATCACCGAGAAGAGTTTGCAGCAGAGAAGGGGTTTATTCACAAGACAGACAAGTGAAGAGATAGGAGAACAAATCTCAAATCCACCTCCACAAAAATGGGGACTAGGGATATTTATGGGGGAGAGGGACAAGGTGGTCTGAAGTATAGGAATAGACGATTGGAGGCTAGAAGTGAAGTAATTGATGATCTGTGCAAGCATGGTCAAACTTCATGCCTCTTCATAGGATGCATGTTCACAAAATGGCGGTGTTGGCGTGATCTGAGGGTGGAGTTTTCAGCTCCCTGATGTCAGGAGGTCACCTATCAGTCATCCACACAGGCCCAGTTGATGAGTTGGTGGTCTCAACTGGCCTGAACCAGACAGGGGTTGACTCTTATTTCCTGAAAAATGACTCAAGCATTCGTTACCATGGTGACCCAGACACCAAGGAGGTGTTATCTATAGGAAGCTAGTGTGAGTTGGATAACATATTACCTAAGCAACACAACTAATAATGGGTGGGTGGACAACTAAAAGCTACAATGAATAATTGCCAAAAAACTTTAGCTACTAACTACCTAATCATTAATAGCTAACTGTCCACAGGTTTCAGGTGTGTAAACAAGCTTCAACAGAAACTTATTTAAATGAATGGTAGCCAAAGAAATGAAGTATGTGCTGCCCATGTTAACTGAAAATTCTTATTCTTTTTTAGGTGGAAACCAGTTATGGGATCAACATGTCCAGTGCTACAATTTCACTAGCTGGGTTTATTATACTCTCACTGCATTTAGCAGTTAATAAGCAGTCAATCAAGACTTGTCCATTTTCACAGTCACCAGACTCATGTATTTACATGGGTGCCACAGCAAATGTATGTTTTTAAAAATTAGGTTTAATGATAACATGTTTCAAACAATCCAAAATATACAGAAAAATAATATATCAGGTAGTCTGCTGCCTTGATTTGAATCTTGGCTTTGCCACTTATTAGCTCTGTAATGAAGGGCAAAGTAGATGACCTCTCTGTGTTTCAATTTCCTCATCTTTGAAACAAGAATAGTAATAGTGTCAATCTCTCAGGGTTGGTGTAAGCATTACATAAGTTAATATTTGATAAGCAATGAAAACAGTATGCATTGTCCTATATTATTATTAATATTACCACTACCACAATTATACTCTCCAGAGAGACTAAACTTTTAAAAAATTTTATTTCACATCTTGCTTAATAAAACTAACTTGGGAGATTTACAATTTGCTTTGTGGTCTGGGATTTTCAAATAATGACCTGCTGAGGTTTTGAATGACTCACTTTTGAATTTATTTGAGTATGGTATTCTCAAAAAGAAGTTCTTTAATAACATTTCCAAATTATTATCATTTGTTTGTGTTTAGGTATTCTCCCTCTTCTGAGGTGAACTTAGAAATTAATATTTTCCCTCAAATTTGTCCATTTTCCCCGTGATGATTTATGAAACATCATTTACTGACTCACTCCTAATCCTCCTGTTTGCTGACACTACCCATGGAAGTTTGTAGCCTCATTTTCTTTATTTTATCTTTAATGATCTAAGTTTATATTTATATGGGCCTGATTTTTCTGTGGATTTTGTGGTATTTTCCCTTCAGAGCAATTTTGTATTTGCTTCTTCTGGTTGCCTCAGTGTTAATAGAAAGATCACGAGTCCAGTAATTTTGTGTTTAATATTTCAGCTTGGTGTTTTAGTTTCTAGGGATAGTGTAAATGCCTAAACCTCTAGGAAGTACTATTAATGAAACGGTAGAGGAGCCATTTTTTTCCATTTTCCTAAACTGCTTGCTCATCGACTTAGTTACCACTATTCCAATTGGTAGATGTTAGTGATAGTGTCAGGATTTTGCCTCTACAGCATCTTCCCCCCATGACTACTTCACACAGGTTGATACAGAAATACATGCCTCTCTTTCTAGGAAAGATGTGTCCATGCTTTTAGATTGACATTGTGTCTCTTATAGAGTGTTTGTGTGTGGCTATGTATTAAACCTAATTTATGATTACTTTCTTCTGTTTTATGGGAGGGAGATCTCATAGTTTTGTTTCCTGCTGACATTTTTTTTTCCTCTGAATGTTTCTACTGGGTTTGATATGAAGCATCATATCTCCTAGGGCCTTGTGTCTATAATGCTGATCTTTACCTTGCTGGAATTGTGCATAACCGTCTTTCTCTCAATCGTATGGTTCAGAGCAAATTGCTGCCATTCAAGAGAGGTGAGTTTCTTGAAATGACTAATAATTCACATGATCTTCAACCTCCCTCCAGGGTTTGAGGTTGTGTCTGACTCCTGGAATTGGACAGAAATTTTTATGTGGTAATGATTTGTGGGGTTCCTGGAGCAGAGATGGTATGAATGTTAACATGGAATAAAGACTAGAAAAGAATTTTAATGTAAAAATGCAAGGAGAGGGCCGGCCCTGTGGCTTAGCGGTTGCGTGCGCGTGCTCCGCTACCGGCGGCCTGGGTTCGGATCCTGGGCGTGCACCGATGCACCGCTTCTCCGGCCATGCTGAGGCCGTGTCCAATATACAGCAACTAGAAGGATGTGCAGCTATGACATACAACCATCTATTGGGGCTTTGGGGAAAAAAAGGAGGAGGATTGGCAATAGATGTTAGCTCAGAGCCGGTCTTCCCCAGCAAAAAGGGGAGGATTAGCATGGATGTTCTTCCACGTCTTCCTCACACACACACACAAAAAAGCAAGGAGAAACAGTGTATTTCATATCCAAGAGCATACATTTTTTATACAGATAGAATTGTTATTATTTTTTTGTAATTTGTCATTTTCTACCTGTATACTCAAGAAAAATCACGAATTCTTTCTGGATTTTAGGTATCTTAACTGTAAAATGAAAACATTTTCATTCATTTCTGATGTTTGTTGTAAGGACTATGTATACAGAACTTCAGCACAGTAATAATCAGTGAATGAATATTATCGGTGGTGATCATGATGATAGTAGGAAGTGATGGAAGGAGAAGGAGGTGATGATCCTATTCTTGGAGATTGATATTGTTTTATTTTCCAGGCAATTTTGCCACCTCCCAATTCTGTGGAATCAGGAATGCCTCCTGATGAAAGTAAATCTGAGAATAAGGAAATTCAACTTCAAGTCTCCCAATAAGTCAGAGCTCCATCCAAGAACTCAAGAGAAGATGAGCCTGTGAAACACATTTCTACTATCATGGCACCAATCATGAGAAACTTGGACATTTAACTCAATCCTTTCTGTCCTAATTATAAATCCCATTACTATGTCCCGGGTATGGAAAGACAAATATGCTTCTTCAGGCATTCTTGGTTTTGTAACTTCTGTGATCACCACTCCAAAGGTGTTTCCAGAAGTTGGTTCTCTTTCTTCCTACCCACCTATTCCATCGCCTTATAAGGTTTAAAGAAGGCAGGAAGAATAATCCCTATTTCTTGTATTTTCTCTAAAATACCTGCCTACCACCCAAAGAGAAGGAAAATGAGTCAGATCTTTTTTTTTCCATTACAGAAAAATGTACCTCACTTTAGTTGACATCAGTGTTGCAAAAACTGTCAAAAAATTATCATTATAATCATTAAGATAAATTTTACTATATTTGAGGTGGGAGGATCAAGCCTTGGAGATTTTATTTCAATCAGCTGGTGAGATTCACACATGCCCAGATGGGTAAATGAGTGGAAACTTTGAGAGCAAGATCAGCATTTGTTCTCCAAAGGGCAGCGAGAGACTGTAATACAGAGAAGTAAAGAATAAGGGCTTAAGAATCTCACAGATCTGGGTTCAAATTCTGATACTGTCACTTATTGGCTGTGTGAACTTGAGCAAGTTACTTAATCTTTCTGACCTATTTTTCCTCCTCTGTAAACAGGGTGTAATAGTATCAACTACGCCATTTGTTGCTATGAAGTTTAAATAAAAATAAAGCCAATGTGAAATAGCACAACTACTTGATAATGATGTTGCTGTTGTTGTTGGTCTTGTTGCGCTGTTAAGGCTGAGGTGAGATTGTGCAGGAAAGGTGGCAGAAATCCTCACGCTTCCATTGTGGCTCCTCCTATGCCCCCCAATCACATCAATGGCCATCTTTTCAAGGTGGCATTTTGATGTTAAAGCTCCTTCTGCCGTATCTGGTTCCTCATTTATAAATATACTGCTGGAATACTTATATTTCTGATTTATAGATTAATTTCTCTCACTTGATGCTGAACTGGTCATCCACAATGTCGGTAAGCTCATACGCATAAGTTACTCCTAGCTCCTTGTTTACCATGTGTGCTAAGATTTTTCTACACTCTTTTCTACTATTCTCTTCAGAATATATATATGTGTATATATAAAAAATATATATATAAAGTTTATTTATTTGTTTGTTTTTTAATCCATTCAACAATCATTCAGGGAGTGCCTACTATGTGCCATGTGCTGTGCTAGGAGTTTGGCATACAACAGAGGATGCTGTATAGTCTCTGCTCTCCAGGTGCTCATAGTGGGCTATATAGACCCATAGAAACATAAAATTACAACATACAGCAATAGAGCTATGATAGGAAGAGTAGAGCAATCTGAGGAAGCACATAACCGAGGTTACAGGCGATGTCAGTGACCATTTTTAAAAAGATTTTCTTTTAAACTGAGATCTTAAAGATGACTGGGAGTTAGCATGATGAAGGGGAAAAGAAAGAAGGGAGATACATGTAGAAACCTCTAAGTTGGGAGAATTTAGGGTATTCAGGGGACTAATAAGAGCATTTAGTGTGTCTAACTTTGGTGTGTGAGGGGCAGATGGCAAGATATAAGTTTGGAGAGAGAAGAAGTGGATACATCACAAGAGATTATAAGACAGGGCAACTCTGTAAGTTTTAAGGGGCAATTGAAAATTTATGCAGTGGTGTTGAACTGGCTTATAAGTCAATAGCTGATTTTAAATTGTGTTCACAAGTGAACACAATTTTGGTAGCTTGAAATTGGCTGTAGTGGGAGTATTTACACTACAGAAATTGGCAAAAACCACAAATCATATTCCCACCCCCACCCTCCAACCCTGGAGAGCCAATTGTTAAATATTTACCAGCATACCTCTGGATAAGTGTGGACAGGCCATGTACTTATTTGAAATTTAGAAACATCGTTGTAGTCGCAACGTAGACTGTATTGGAAGGAGTCCTTGGAGAGAAGGCTGGTCAGGAGTCTAATACAGTAAACCAAGCAAACAATGGATGTATATAGACCAGTAGAAGGAAAGATATTTATAGTAACAGTTGTATAATTTTTCATTAATCCAACTTCTCTCCTATTATGTTATAAATAAATAAATTATTTCTTTATATTTTTCCAAAGATATCTGCTAATAAATTTTGATTAAAACATATTGACAGCCTGTAGCAAACATTGTGATTGCCTCTCTAGCATCTATTCTTTCTATCCCAGATTGATGGCGACCTTGGGATTTTGGTGGCGTTAACCTCACCCTGTGCTCCAGGGATACACCGTGATAGGTCTAAATCCATCAGGACAATTCCATTCATGATTGTGTTAGCCCATGAAATTCCCCTGGACCAGAGCTTGATTCAGTTGTAGAGCCATCATCATTAAGTTGGATGCTTTTTATGACAAATGTGTGGCATGACCTTCCCTTTCATCATATTTGTGAATTGAGATACAACTAGAACTAGTACCTATTAATGGCCATGACAAAAACCAACTTAAGTATTAAGCTGAAGGCAACATAAGAGAATTTCAGAAAGAAATCAAACTCTAATCTAACCATACCTGAAATTTAACCTATATCTGGAATTGGAAGTGTCATGAACACATACATTTTGTTTTTATTATTTAAACAATATTTGTTGCAAATGTCTTCTCCTATTCTGAGTTTTTTAATTTTTTTTTTTTTTGGTTAACTGTTATTAACCCCAAACTGTTGTAATCCTATTTATTCACTTTTCATCATGACTTAACGTAGTTTGTATTTTGTGCGAGAAAACTTTCCTTACCTCAAGGCCATGGAGACATTATTATAGCTTTTCTTATTAAAGTTTTAAAGTTTTTCTTTTTATATTATGAGCTTTAATACATCTATAATTTACTTTTTCTATAGAGAGTGACAATATTATCATCATCATCATCACCATCATCATCATCATCATCCTTCTAGAAAGCTAATAACTCCAGAACTTTTCATTGACTACTCCACCATTTATAATATTCAAGTTCACATACACGCATGCATCTATTTAGGAGCTTCCTATTCTGGGGACATATTTTTGTTATTGTAAAAATACCACATTATTTTATATACTTAATATAATTGTTCTTATTATCACCGAGGACAAATTTCTCCATGTGATTATTTTTCATCATTTTCTTGGCTATACTTGGATCTTATGTTTCTATATGAATTTTTTTTTTTTTTTGAGAAAGATCAGCCTTGAGCTAACATTCATGCCAATACTCCTCTTTTTGCTGAGGAAGACTGGCCCTGGGCTAACGTCAGTGCCAGTCTTCCTCTGCTTTATGTGGGACGCTGCCACAGCATGGCCTGACACGCAGTGCATTGGTGCGCACCCGGGATCCAAACCCAGGCTGCCAGCAGTGGAGTGAGTGCACTTAACCACTACGCCACAGGGCCAGCCCCTCTATATGAATTTTTATAATCATCTGTTAAAGCTCTAAAGATATTTTGCAATTTTGACTTAAAGTCATAGATCAGTTTGGTGGGAATTGACATTATTTTTGTAATTTATAATATTAAATGGTATCATTTATATATTTTTATTATAGGCCTTATTTTATTCTCTTTAATTATATAATTTTTTCTTTCAAGATCTTGCTCATCTTTTGTTACATTTACTTCTACAAATGAAAGCAGTTTTCTTTCTTTTTTAAAGATGAATATAGAGCCTTATATATTTTTTTGTCTCACTGAGTTGCCACAGATAACTTCTATAACATTGAAAAGGGGAAGAATATTTATATGTTGTTTGCACTTGTGTGAGGTGTCTGCAAGAGAGACAGAAAGAGAGAGAGTATATGGAGTTATTATTGTAGATATTCAATGAAAAACAGTTAAGGAAGCACAGGCTAATGTTGAATGAAATTTTTTTTACTGCTGATTAATTTTTAACTATTTATTTTGTAATATTTTTAGATTTATGGAAGAGTTATAAAGACAATACAGCATTCCCGTATACTCTTTATCCAGCTTCCTCTAATACTAATGTCTTACATAAACATGATACATTTATCAAAACTACAGAATAAACATTTGAGAAACACTATTAACTAAACCATAGACTTTATTAGGGTCTCACAGTTTTTCCAATAATGCCCCTTTCCTGTTTCAGGATCCAATCCAGGATACCACGTTGCAGTTAGTTATCATGTTTCCTTCGTCTCTTCTGATCTGTGACAGTTTGTCAGACTCTCCTTGTTTTCCATGACTTTGACATTTTTGAAAAGCATTGTCAGGTATCTTGTAGACTGTCTTTTCAGTTTGGGTCTGTCTCGTATTACCCCATGATTAGGCTAATTTATGAGTTCTGGGGGAAGAATTCCACATAGGTAAAGTGCTCTTCTCATCACATCATATCAGGACACCCAGTACACTCCTCATACCAACATGACATCATTGGTGAAACTAACTATGATTACTTGATTAAGGTGGTGTCTGCCAGCTGTCTGCACTATAAAGTTACTATTTTTTCTTTTCCATCCTCTGTATTAGAAGTGAGTTAGTAAATCCAACATACATTCAAGGGGAGGAGAAATGAGTGCCACCACCTGGACAGAAGAATATCAAAACAAATGTGAACATTTGTTGAAACCACCACAGTAATAAATATTTCGGAGAAGATGTTTTGAGGCTATGCAAATATCCAATTTCTCCTCAAAGTTTCACCCACCAATTTTAGTGTTCACGTGTAGATTCTGCTGCAGCAATTACCACTGTAATGTTCAACAGGTGATTTTCTATTTCTCTCATTTCTTCTTCATTTACGATTTGAATTTTTCTGTAAAGAAGATTTGTCCCTTCTCTCTCATTTATTTATTTATTAAATCATTTATTTCTATCAGTATGGACTCATGGATATTTATATTGCTCTTTGGGTTGTGACTGATATTTATTTTGTTACTCAAATTGTTGCAGCTTTGGGCCTTGAGAGCTGGGTTGGCTCTTGTGTAGTTTGGATGTGCTTCCAGCTCTTCCATTTTTTAGCACTTTCTTCTTTTCTAGAACTAAAGATACTCCAGGCTCATTTCCCTGTTGCAGACCTAGAATTTCCATTTCTACAGGGAGCGCTGATTCCTTTTTTTGGAGAAGTATATTTTAAAAACCTGACCTGGGGGCTTATCGTGACTGGTTGTCACTGCTTTTTGGCCATCTCAGTGGATAAGGCTAGGAAATGCATGCATATGCACTAACCTATGTGCACACATGTTTATATTATTGCTGTATCTATTGTCTGTACATATATTAAAAGATACATGAGTCTATACTGATATAGTCCACTCAAATCCAGCGCCACAGAGTTCATTCTAGCACCATCCCCCCCACCACACCTTGCTAATTTGTAACCTGTTTCTGAATGTAAGAAATCTGACAACAATTATACAAAATTTATTGACGGGTTTGTTGAACCTTAGTATACCTACAGAGTTGTTTCAGAATTACTAGCCAGTATTCTTGTAATAAATAAATTTACCAACTACAGTATAGCATTTATGTACAGTTCTTTTTATCTTTAGCCTTAAGGTATACAATCAAGCAGTTATTTTTCAGTTACTTAGGTCAGCTCCTTTTAACCCCCATCTCTTGCAGCGAGTTTTCATGCCTTTGTAATAGGGCTTAATTCATTTTTCACAGTCTGCATTTCATCCTGGGTTCCACATACACTGGTTGATTTTTTCTTTTTTCTTTTTTTTTTTTTGAGGGCCAAAACGATACAGGAGAATTGTTTTCTTACAGGAAGCCACATTCTCTCCTTGACTCTCTCCTACTTTTACGATATAAATTACATAATCCTTTGTTTGGAAGCTCTCTGATACAACATTTCCTTTCTATCACTCTTTATAAGAAGCAGGTACCTAGTGGAAGAGGCACAGCTTCACATAAATGACAAACAAAACCTAATAATAATAAATAATAACAAAACCTAAATTCACAAGAGAAGGATATTAACATTTATTGACTATACACTACGTCTCAGGCTCTTTGTTAGGTGCATTGCATTTATTATCCACTTTAATTTGACCCTCAGAACATTGTTATGATTTGATAAAAAGTAGGAGAGGTTGGAAGAAGAAAGTAAGACTGACTTTGAAGCTATTAGTTCTCACGCTGTGCTACTTTACATTTTATTATCTCATTTAATCATAACAACCCTTGCAAGTAGGTATTATTACTCCTATTTTAAAGTGAAAATCAGAGAAAGGAAGATATTTACCTATAACCACACAGCTAGTAACATATAGGCTCATATTCAATTCAGGTCTGAATACAATAAAACTCAAATTTTTAAAATGATTATTTTATAGGTAGCAAAGTGCTTCTACTTATTTTTTCTCCACTGGCTCTCAGAAAGCCCTTCAGTCAAGCCCAGGTTTATTTTGGGTAGGCTGGGCCAGGGAAGCAGTGGACAGTGTGGCTTAGAAAAGTTGGAATCCTAAGATAGATGTCTTGACATTCCTCAGGGAGGGGATATTTTGGAAATCTCTCAGAAAAAGAAAAAAAAAATACATTACTCATGATCTGGTTGTGACAAAAATGTGAGACATAAAAAACAATAGAGGTAAAAAGAAAATTATGGACTATTTAAAGACAACAATTGGAATGCTTAAGGGCAGTGGGAGAGAGAGAGAATGATGTCTTGATATTTTAAAAATATGAATCTTTTTTATTGCTTTTTGGAGGTTCCTGCTGAAACTGTCTCCAAAAAGAATCCAATGGAAAAATCTCTGAAGATTTATTGTCTCTGATGAATCAGCAATTTGAGAAGAACTTGCGGCTTATAACCTGTAAGCCACTGATGATCGTGGACTGTGCCCAGTGTTCTTTTCTTCAAGTTTATCAGCAAGTTGGGGATGCTGGAGAAGTTGTTGATTGATTGATTGATCTACTCATTAATTCATTCAATATATACTGAGCTCTGATCATGTGCTTGTCATTACGTTAAAAATTTCAAAGTGGTAAGTTGTAGAATTTTGTCCCTATTTTCATTGAATGATAATTCATTAAGTCAAATGCTTAAAATAAAGCCCCAACCAAAAAAAGGTTAATTGTAACAATTTGATACTGATTAAAGAAGAGTTTGTGTCATGTATAAAAACATTTGCCTCAGGATGAATCGTCTCACTCACATCTGATTTAGATGATATTTAGTTGAGACTTTGGTCTTGAGATTTTTCAGTTGAAACTGGAACAAGTTAGGCTCTATGGATGGAATGAGTGTATTCTGCGTATGAGAAGAACAAAAAATAGGGACAAATTTTGGATGTCTACAATCTCTCTAATAGGAGTTTCATATAAATAGAAGAAACAAAATTTTTGTGAGGAAATTATCAAAAAAGAATACATAGAAAATTCTTTAGAACAAAGTACATGGGTCTCTAGTGTGAACACGGCTACTCACTATCCAGTAAAATTATGACATAAGATTTACATTGTCTTGACATCATGCATTTCTTACCTCTAGGATTTAAAAGAAACTATAAAAGTTTCAGAGGGAAAATATATGACACATACAAATATTTGGAATTAAAAATTACATTGGAATTCCGAAAATGAACTGTGGATGCTAGAAGAAAATGGAGTGAATGATTCTGTGTAAAAAATATTCTCCAGTTCAAATTCTATACCTCTCTAGAATTCAATTAAGTATGAAGGTGTAAAAAGGAAATGTTCAGACCAGCAAAGTCTCAAAAACTATATCTCCCAGGTACCCTTTCTCAGCATGTAACTGAAGAATATATTCTACCAACATGTGTTGGGACCCAGGGCAGGCTGCCTCAAAATATCCCACAATGGCATATTGATTATTTTGAATTAAAGTTACTTGAGAAGCAAAAAGGTCATTCTGACCCTGCTGTCTCTGTTCCCCCTGAAAGCAGGAACTAAATCTCCCATGTGATAGGTGCTCTCCCCGTGTCCTTATCACCAGAGCTAGAGAATTCAGGGCCAAGGAGCCTATAACAACAAAGCTTGCTAATTTACCACCTCAAGCCTAAACTCTGCTTAAATTCCTCACTAATTATGTACCTCAAACCTAAGTTTCTTTGTCCTGTCATTCCTCACAAAATTATTGTTTTTTTGTGTAAAAGATGTATATTCTGCCTGCTTTGTTCACTCTTTGGGCATCATTTTCATGATTCTCCCAGGTGCACATAATTAAATTGAGTTTTTCTCCTGTTAATCTAGTCTTGTGTCAATTTTACTATTAGTCCAGTCATAAGAACACAAAAAGGGTAGAAGGGGGAATTTCCTCCCTCCCTGACACATGCAATAGTACACTGAGACACAGGAAAAAGTGGGATCAAGGAAATAGGGAATCCCACATAAGGCAGGGCAATGGGAAGTCTGAGATGCTAGCTGCGGGCATGCTTAAAGGCAAAACAGTCCAGCCTGAAACATGAGGGGAGACAAGTGACTCCAGGAAAACAATATGTAATACGTCATTCTCCAAGGTTAACAATGTGAAAAAGAAGATTGACAGGCAACTGATACAACACTTGTAAAGCATTGGAAGATAAAAGTACATTTTCAAAACTAAGCCAATAAAGAATAGGAAATTGTTAAAGTTTTGGAATAATATTGAAAATAGTAAAAATGAATTTGACCACACAGTCAGATATAATTATATTAGGAGGCTAGAGAGAAAGGAAGAATGAGTTTAAGAAAGCTAACAAGCTCATCACCCACGATAGGGAGCAACAGCTAATGTCTACATCTTGCCTATGATTCTAGGTGTCTTATAATTTTCTACACTGAGAAGATGTTCTTGGTGAGAAGAGAACAAATATATTACATGCTTATAATTTTCCCTGTGAAAAGTGTCATTTTGGAAGATAGAAGCGGTGTGAGGAGATAAAGAATTAATGTGTGCTGGACCTTGGCAGTTGAGTGAGCCAGAGGCTGCAATAGTAGATAAACCCCAATTTCAGAAAAGATTCAAAGAGATTTTAAGCACCTGGGTAGTCTGTATAAAGCTTTCTCTTTGTATTCCTGAAGTCACATAAATGAAGAGACAAAAATTTTCTCTTCAAGTTTGCTGTCAGTTCTAGGCCGTTTAGAACCACCTACCTGTCTTGTTTTGTAAACAATATTTTCTCATTTTTGCAACCAAATTTCCAACGGAACATTGAAGCTTGGTGCCAGTCTCAGCCTCTCTTAGCCTCTTATCCATGTTTATTGAACCCATGCTTGGCCCTGAGCTGTAGAAATGAGAGACTGACTGTGATTCCTTTGGGAGTCTCAAAAAATACCCGCTTCGAGATAGCAAACTTTCGATTTGTAACATGCAAATGTGTTCATATTTATTTTAAGTAAATTGAGCATTCAGTTTGAGAAAATAATTGTTCAGACGGGATCTGAAAGCAAATTTCTTTTGAGTTTGGGGAAATGAATCTAGTGTGTAACTGAGAGAAGAAACTTTGCTTGTCAAAGAGGAAACCAGATGGTGAGTGGATGAAAAGCGTGTGCAAACATATTGCCAGAAGGAGGAAATATATGTGATGGGGAAGAAATGTTAGCTCTATTATCTCTTCCTTTCAGGCTGAGGCATGATTAAAACTCATCTTGATAATTTTGCCCCCACCAGAAAAAAAACGTCATTTTGTCATATGTTTCAATGTTCACTCTTGTGAAAGATGAAAGAGCATGACTGTAAGGATCCAAAATGGGGGCACAGAAGATGACAAGCATCTCAGAAGGGAGTATGAAGAAGAAGCTGGCAAAGGTTGGGATGTGAAACAATTTGGAGGTCGTAAGTTACGTCTCAGTTTCTGATTTGCATTTTGCAAGGGTCTGTTGAAAATTCTCACGAAATAACGTTGCATCCAAACATGGAAGACCATCCTCCATCTGTTTCCTGTCTAAATCTCGGGTGTAATTTTTAATTATTTGTTGCACACGTAATGAATTATTATATACTCCCAGAAAATGCCATAAACAGACATTTCTTCAGGCCCAATCCTAGCAGATGTGGTGTAATTTCGCTGAAGCAGAAGCAAGCAAATAAGGCTATGATTTCAAGTGCTGGCTCAAATGTTATTTTCTCTGAGAATCTCTTCCTTGAATTCTACATACACCCTATCAAGTGAAATTGTTTATATCCTCTGTGTGTTCTAGCAGCCTCTGACATATTGGGAATATTATGTCATTTATCTTTGTTCTACTCTGCCAGGCTGTGACCAGGACAAGGGCTGGGACCATGGTGTTCATCTCTGCATGCTCAGTGACAAAAGTAGTGTCTGACATGGAGCATTAAGTCCCTTTTGGACGAATGTATAAGTGAATGAGGTTTATTTCTTAGTTCCAATAACATGTCAGTTAGGTCCACCAATTCCTGAAGACACAGTGGGAAGATGGCACATGGGTTAATAAATTTTTGTTATGGAAGGTATGCTAACAGGTCTTTTAATGTCCTCTGTTCACACAAATATATTAGCTTCCTGGAGAACAAGGAGAAATTTTATCATACCCCAGAGAAGCAATACAGGTGATTAGAGGTATAATTTGTAGTATCTTACAGTTGAATGAAGAGTCATTCAAGGTTATGTCTATAGTTAAACTGAAATAAAAGAGTTCCAAATCTGTGAATCTCACCTGTATATTCACTTTGCTATTGTCTAGCTAGTTATGCTTTTTGAAGATTTTAGTTTAGCTCCAAATCTAAATTAGGCATACTGCTCAGTCCAATGCTGCTTATATCTACTCATAGGATTTATCATCAAGTTCATGCCCCTCAGTGTTTCCATTGTTCCACCCTTGCCATCACAAAAATCAAAGCGGCAGAGAGTAATCTAAGAGTTTAGCAGACAATGGAGTCTTTAGTGTGGAAATTTCTTAGCTTTCACACTGTATGAGGAATGGTTCACAGCTGTTAGAACTCTGCCTGTCCAGTTCCTGAGACCATCTGCTGCAGAGAGCTATATAAAATGTCTAAAAGGCAAGAAGAGAGAGAGAGACAGTAAACATTGGAGTCAGAGACAAATCCAGAGATTTAGAAACTAAGACACTCATACTTGCAAACAGTACTTCAGCATTAGATTACGTGGTGAAGCCAAATATGCCTTAAACAGGGAAGACAGGCTTTTCAAATGTACAGTTGGAGAACTTCTGGCATAGAAATGGCTTGACTGGGACACAAGTAACGAAAGCTCCAGAAGAGAAGAACATCTCTTTCTGTTCTGCAGTTCTTTCTCACCTTCTCAGTCTCTACTAAACTGTCTCATTTTTAGGGTCTGTGAATTTTACTGGTCTCAGGCAGAAGTATTCTCCAGAAGTCTCAAATTTCTTCATCTCATACTAGTCCCTACTTAGTAGCCTACTCAATTTTGCTCTTCATTATAACAAGAAAAACCCTGTTGATCTTAATCAGTCAGGAAACTTCTGTCTCTGACAAATGTCTTAAGTGTGAAGATTGTCATCAATGTCATGAGCCAGCCCATCTTAACTACCCGTCTGGAGCACACTGTGAGAGGAAGCCCACCAAGGCTCCTTGTAACAATATTCTTCACCACTGGAAAGCTCAGTTATTGAAAAAATGGACACGGAAAACAGACCTAGAGCAGCTATTGCTCTCCCAAACCCACAGGAGCCCTCCAGGTAGGTATAGGCTGTAATTTTTTTCTATTCCCAGTCACTTAGTGGGCCAGAGATAGTCACAGTGCTGGGGAGATGCCAATTCATGGACTTGGGCATGGACCTATCTGGTTTAATTAATATATTGAATATGAAGAAGCTATTTGTTATACTTTCCCAGTAGTTCTCTCTAGTTGATGGGGAGGTAGGTTTTCACTCAGCTTGTGGACTGGGAATAATTTAAGTTTTCTCATAGTAGAGGCTCATCTTCTGGGTATGAGGTGGAGGAGTTTGTACTGTCAGTATAGATGTCTTGCCTCTGTGTCTGATCTGTTAAGGGACAGAAACTTTTCAAAATGACCTTGGGCTCCTTCCTGGTTAGTCTCTGTGAATCTCCAGCTGTGGGATCCTGCCCCACTCTTTAGAGGGGAAATGATCTTGGAGTGAAGGCTGATAGAGGTGCACAATTAATTTTCCTTTCAATACCAAAGCTAAGCATATGTTAAGACTTTCCTTTTAAAGGTTTTAGGAGAGGCTGAAGACAGAGCTTTGGGAATCAATATTAAGTATCAATAGTAAGTATATTCTGAAGCTTTAGAATGGACAGTATTTCCAGTTAGCCTCCTCGGAGGATGAAAATAGGAAAAGAGATTCAACTAAGAGATTTCAAAGCCATTCCTTTGTGCACATGAAATTTGGTGTGTCATTGACAAAATATATTCAGATACATTTCTATGTTAAAAAGATTGAGAGATGCATAGGCAAACATGTTTGTTTGATTGTTTTTATTTTTAATCATCAGCATAGATTAATGGGAAAGAACTTGGTAGTAACCCTGGATTAAGAATAAGAAGACTTGGCATGGCTTTTGTTCCCTTTTGTTCCATCTAATCATTGATTAGATAGTGATCTTAGCCACTAACTTGGACTCTCTGAGTCTCAGAGTTTTTTATACATTACAATGAAAATTTTAAGTGCAGGATTGTTTGGAAAAAATAAACAATCTGAACTTCCCTTTCTGTCAGTTGAGAACTTTACATGGGAACTTAAAGAATTTTCTCATGACTGGATTTCTGTTTAAACTTCACAGAGTGTCTGAAATTGAAGTTTCAGAAGTTTCCCTTCGTGGTGCCAGCTTGCTGGGGAAGGCTGCCCCAAACCCACCAGGCCTTACATGGCTGACATTTTTGAGGAAGGAGCTGGAATTCCTGGGGGTGAGTGAGCCTCCTCCAACCTCAACTAGAGTAAGGACTGGCTCTAGGAAAGAGTATTTGGTTACATCAACAGTTTCCCCACTTGGATTCACGAGGAGAGTAAAAACCTGGTAGATGAAGAATTGACACTAACTGGGGCCTGTTAGGTAGAGAGAAGCATTTCCTCATGAAGGCTAGAATAAGAATGGCACATAGGAGCTGCCAACCCTGGTCAGTTGTTGGTGGATTAATGTAATATTTTGCTTGAAGGATTTATAATCTCTTTCTTCACTTATATGGAAAGAACAATTATTGATGTCCACCAGGACTACGTAAATAAAGGCATATGAGAAATATATTGACCATCCCTGCCTTAGGTTATGCCTGTATCAATTCTTAGAGTAGTCAGAGGATACTGGAAAATATCACATTTGGATCCTTTCTCAGGACTGCCTAAGACACCAAAGCAATTTCTCACATTTGGCCTCAATTATTAGGAAATGGATGCAATCTTTTTTGAAAATATCTTCTTATTCCACGAAACTTATACATTTGTTGACAGGTAACACAAATTCTGATTGGTTTCCTATGCTTTTGCTTTGGAACAATTGTCTGCTTCGTGCTCAATATTTCAGAATTTGATGAAGATTTATTTTCATCATTTAAAGTCGGCTACCCATTCTGGGGAGCAGTATTTGTGAGTATACATCTACAATTGTCTTTGAAATAACACTGCACATAGGTTTTCTCTTACATAGATGGATCTAACCAATTGTCTGTCTTCAGTATTTAGATTATATATACGTCTGTGTGTGTGTGTGTGTGTGTGTGTATGGAGTTTACAGAGCACTTCAAGTTAAACATGTTACCACACTTTTATCAGATGAGAAACTTGAGATTAATAAAAATTAAATGAATTATCCAAAGGACGTTTAGTTAATAAAAAATGAACCTAACCTTTCAAAATTCAATTCCAGAACACTCTCGCTAACACTGTTCATCAATGGTGTTATCTTAGTGAAAGGAGGGGAAAGAGATTGCTGAGGTGAGGAGAACAAGGTCAAAGGCAATTGATGAACTTCTACGGGCCCTAGAAACTCTGTGAGGTGCATCCTCATTGTATCTCTTTTAATCATTGTATTGTTTAGAAATTAGATGACTGAACGAGATCACAAAGATATGTAGATTTATTGAGGTATAATTGACATACAAGACATGGCACATATTTAAGGTGTGCAATTGGATAAATTTTGGCACATGTTTACACACATGAAAACATTACCACATTGATATAATGAAAATAGCCATCACCTCCAAAGTTTCCCTGTGGCCCTTGGTAATCCATTCCTCCCTCCACTCTCTGTCTTCCCATCCTCAAGCAAGCACCAATCTGCTTTCTGTCCTATAGATTAGTTTGCATTTTCTAGTTTTATATAAATTGAATTGTACAGCATGTTCTATTTACCATCCAGCTTCCTTCACTCAGCATAATTATTTTTGATTAATTCGTGTTGCTTTTTGTACCAACACTTCATTCACAAAGATATATTTTAACTCTAATAAATACCACCGTGGCTTGGCACTCTGCTCAATACTTAGGACTCAGATCGCTTGTTCAGGACTCTCCTTGAATCTCTGACAGAGTTTATCTGAAAATTCTCTCTACTATCTTTTCATTCGAAACACTTAGCTTACTAGGTGTCCCTCAATCCATCATACAATCTGAACCTTTGAAATTGTTATGAATTTGTGCTATTGATTTGTATTTTCACTAAATCTTTCGCCATGTACCTTTTCATAATTACTACATGTCTATGTGATATACATTACACTCTGGAGATATACATGCCACAAACACATGTTTATTGCCCAAAGGACCTGACACTAACACACAGGATGCTCATACAAACAAATAGAGTAAATTGAGAGTAGTGTTACAGCTGAGTCATGCACTGGGTGCTGCTGGACGTTGCAACTCCAAAACTGACCAATAAACTGTCAGCATCAGCATCACCTGGGAGCCTGGTAGAAATGAAGACTCTCAAGCCCCATCCAGGACTTACTGAATAAGAATCTGCATTTTAACAAGACCCTCACATGATTCTCATGCACATTTAATTTTGAGAAAGCACTCTACAGGAAATAAGAATAAGAAAATAGCAAGCCCACAAAAACACTTAATGGGTAGCTTTATAGAGAACCCCTAACTTTACCTTATTTGGAAGATAGAGGTGAAAGGGTCATAGACAAAGATAGAGACTCACTGTGTTTTTTTCCCCCTCCCTTTTGGACAGTTTGTTATTTCTGGATTTTTGTCAGTTATGTCTGAAGAGAAACATGGAATATATCTGGTGAGTTGCAATTCTGTCTTTGTTCATCCTGGAGAAGGTAAGAAACATTGAATTTTAAGAGTCTTGAAGGGGACATGTTATCATCTATATTATGAGTGAAGGTGGATATATAATTTTTTTCCAGTCTATTTTGTGTTGGATATCATCATTAAAAATATAATCATTAAAACATCAATTGTATCATTTAAAAAACAACAAAGTGTAATTACCTTGACACTTGTTGAAAAAAATATCCTCACACTGGCCTTGTCTTTCTAAGTACAGTCCTATGATCAAATAAATGATTCATTTCCAATTAAGGGGACTACTTGAGGAGAGACTGTGTGTGTCCATGTGGGTCTTCCTGAATGCAGTCCTAGCAAGAAAGTTATAGATGCTTATTAAACAAGGAGTATATTTTCAAGATTTCCCTTTTTAATCTATATTTTGAACCAATGCAGAGTTTACTGGATGCATCCAGCCATGAAATGCAGATAGGTTTGTTGAATGTGTTTGCAGTTGCAGGTCCAGGTCTGAGTGTTCTTCTGTACCATCAGGTGCGAGGAAGCCTGGGGGCAAACACTGTCAGCAGCATTGCTGCAGGAGCAGGAATCATCATCCTGATCATCAACCTAAAGAAGAGCTCGGCTTATATCTACAATTGCCAGGAAACTTATGAGGATGTCCTCTGCCTTGTGGCTTCTTTTTCTACTGTATGTATTGTGGGAAGGCTAAGATTCTGGGTCCTACTCTAAGTGAGAAGCCATCTTTTCCTTTTTCGTGAACACAATCCTTTTTTACAACCTTTATCACATAACGCAGTGTTCTGTAGGTTCATGCCCAGAGATGCTGGCTACCCCCTACCCACCCCCCAGTTGAATTCTGCAAGGTTGGAGTCATCTGTCTTGAGTTACTATTTCCTGGTTTTTCCGCGTGTGTGTGCGCATGTGTGACTTTATAGGGACTGATCATGTTGGGGGGTGGGGATGAAAACAGACTGCTGAAAGAGAACGCAGTTTTGGGGCACCTACCTTGTGACTCTACTTGTTTTTTTGGTTGTTGGTTGTTGTTCAACAGGAAATTGTGGCGATGATGCTGTTTCTCACCATTTTGGGGTTTTGCAGTGCTGTGTCACTCACAGTCTATGGTGTGAGAGAAGTAATCGAAGGAAATAAGGTAGGTAGAAGCCTGATCCTAAATCCTGAATGACAAGTTAAAGAATTTGAGCTTTATCACTTAAAAATACGACTGGCTTTCCTGGAACATTTCTTCCAGAAAATTATTTCTCCCAGTTTCAGTATTTGATTTCCAAATCTCATACTTTAAATCACATTTTCCACTCCTAAGTAGCACAAATATCAGTATATCCCCATGACTGAGGGTCAGGGAAACAACATCTTCATTATTTTAGAAAATATAGATGCTCCAAATTGTGTTGAGCATGAGACATGAATATTCAGGTAGTATGTGATGGAACCACTCAGATATTTGTGCTTATTTTCGGTTCCAGAATAGCTCCCTTATACGTGTTCCTGCTCTCTCTTTTTTCTTGGCTTTTGCCTTCCCACTTGCTCTGAAGTCTCAATTTTCTTTTCTCCCTAATTCGTGACTGCCAAATGCATTTCCACTTGCCTTACCCATCCATTGCACCTTTGATTTATGAAAAAGAATCACCAATACTCGATGCACATGCACTTACTCAAATCTTCCAGATGAAACACTCTCTCTCCACATGTCCACTTGCCTGCATTCAAGCTGGCTGCCTTTTTTGATCACTTTCCTCCAAAGAAATATGAAACAGCAGATATATCAAAATTCAGATGCATAACAGTCTCACCAACTTGCCATTGACTGACATAACTTCTTTTGGGTCCACTTGGCCAGTCAATGTGGCTTGGTTTGTTGGAAATCGAGGGAATAATTACAGTGTCATGGGGGAGAATATGAGATTCAGAAAGACAAAAGGAGATGAGATACACCTCTAAGTCTTCTAGTGGTAGAAAATTCTTGGTGATAGATTTTGAATGATTTTTTTCCCTCATCAGATTCCAGAAGATCGTCTTTATGAAGAATTAAACATATATTCACCAATTTACAGTGAATTGGAAGACAGAGGGGAGATATCTTCTCCCAGTGACTCATAAGAATCATGTGCCCAGAACATTCTGATTCACAGCAGAGGGTCCAGAAAGCCAAGGTCTTTGTTTAAGGGGCTACTGGCAAAATTTCTATTCTGTCTATGATCTGCCAATTTTACATTATGATTTATTTTCCAGATAGCAATATTCTGTTTTTGTTGTTTCTGTTCACTAAACACCGTCCCCCCCATTTGTAGATATGATAGACTCCTGTTTTTCGTCTTTTCTATCACCCATACCTTCTGGGAAGTCAACATGTAATAAGTAACGTTTACGGCGTGCCTATAACTGCGCAAATAGGGAAAACAGGAGGAAGGCTGGTTGAGAGTTGAGTTAAACTTTAACAGTTTGATAATAGTTATTTCTTAGCCCTTTTTAGAGTTTACAAGAGCTACGGATGTGCATGACATATGTCCCCCTACTTGACTGTAAGCACCTTGAGAGCAAAGTCCAGTTCAGCAAACATATGCTGAGAACCAATTAAGTGTTTGAAGTTTTCCACGCTTGTCTCTTTCACAGTGTGTATCCCAGTATTTCACAATAGTGGATGCTCAGTGTGTATTTATGGAATGGATGGGTGAGGATTCAGACCAGATCAGGCCAGAAGGAGAGGAGAAAAGGAAAAAGAAATGATTCTGGAGTGAATTTGGAGGTGATAAGGTGACCACATGGGTGTGTATTAAGAATAGGGGTAGGAGGGTAATCAGATGGGATTTGAGTAGAGATTCCACAGGCATGTATTAAACATGTTGGTGGATCCATATCAGGTTAGCAATGGATGCTTCCTGCTTATGTTTGATCTTATTATATGGAGAAAACAACGTGGTATGTTAGAAGCATCACTGTTCTTCTTTTTTTTGTGAAGAGGACCAGCCCTGAGCTAACATCAATGCCAATCCTCCTCTTTTTTGCTGAGGAAGACTGGCCTTGGGCTAACATCCATGCCTATCTTCCTCTACTTTGTATGGGATGCCACCACAGCATGGCTTAACAAGCGGTGCGTCGGTGCGCACCCGGGATCCGAACAGGTGAACCCGGGCCGCTGCAGCGGAGCATGCCCACTTAACCGCTTGCGCCACTGGGCCGGCCCGGAAGCATCACTGTTCTTATCAAATGCAGGGAGCCTGAGTTGGAATCCTAGGCCTATTGCTTATTAGTGGAGTGATGTAGCAAATCATTTAACTTTTACTCAATCTCTGTTTCCTCATCTATAAAATTAAGATATTAGGAATAATTTATCTGCCAGCGCTAAATGTGGAAACACACACATGCACAAGCACAGTGTAAATTAAAAGTGCTCTAAAAGAGAAAGGGATTATTATATAAATTATTTAATTCATATGTACACAAAAGTGATCTCCAAATTTTAGTGATCTCTAATGATACAACATTTAAGTCTATTTTATGCCAACCTTAAAGGTCTCACTCTTTAATCCCACTTTAGCTTTCTCTTGAATGTGCTTTGTGCTTGACTACCTCCCATCAGCTCCCTGGCTTGAAATATTCTGCCCTCTCTTCTGAGCTTGCTTGAATTTCTTCTCTCTTTAATGCCAATCTTAAATCCCATCTCATTCTTTAGTTTTTTTCTAATTGCAATTGCTCCTTTCTCTAGACGATAAGTTTTCAAACCAAATGCACACATGAACACACACCTTACACTATATATAACTTTCAATATGCAAATATTTTACATCCCTTCAATGCTAATACATTTTTTCAAAGACATAAAGTCTCATAAAAATCTGTATGTTGCCTGAATCACCAGTGCCTTCACTGACACAATATTGTTCAATCATGTTTGCAGATAGATGAGTGGGCAGTAGGAAGTTTTATTAAGTTACTCTGTATCTGATGAGATGGAAACTATAAATGGAAAGGTCATTTAATGAGGAATTTGAAACAAAAGAAGAATGAATTCATGGAGACCAGAGCTAAAATGAAGTGAGTGGGCATGGACAGAAATTGTCATGTCTATAACAGGGAAAGAGTAATTGGTCTTCTTGTTAAGAGTTGAATTAAAGAACAAAGTTAGACAAGTAATTGGTTGGTTAACACATTAAGTGTTTGAGTCTAAGATCAAAGGAGAACAGGTTAGAAGGATCAGTGATCTTTCTAGGTGATGTTGAAATAAGCGATAGGAAGTCAGAAATATGACTTGATAGGAGAGGAGTACAGACAGACCTAAATTAAGAGTAGTTTTAGACTGTCATTTTTAGGAGACCAAAGAGAAATGCAGCTAGAGAGGGCCTGATGGCATCCAACACCAAGTTCTGGTAAAGATGAAATTTGGTGATAGAGATTTGGTGTCATTATAAGAGAGATCACTATTAAATTAGACAGATTAACACTCTGAGAGAATTATTTTGAGATAAAAGTAAAGCCAAGCAAACTTTCGCGTGCCTATAATCAGAGGGAAAAAGGAAGGAAAAAAGTCTAGGGTAGATGACACAAGAATTAGTCAGAAAAGTGTGTAGTGAAACAGTAGACACCAGGTAGCCCAAAGTAAAGAGAGTTTAGACAAAGAGAGAATAATTAACCATCAGAGACAGTATCTGCTGGCTTGGGCAAGAGAAAAATCTACAGTGATCAATCAACTCCAGGTGGGGCATGGAGATGGGCAGAGAAAATAGTAATGGTGAATGAATGCAAAAGGTGCAGAGAAATTCAAAACATGGTTAGGGTGATACGTAAATGAATAAAACATTTGCAGAGGCATTTAGAGAGAGAGGATGGGGGTATATGTGATGTGAGAAATAAGAGAGTAGTTTGTGAATTGAAAGTAGTGAAGAAAAAGTAAGCTAAGCAAACTGATTTTGTTGCTATTGATATTTTTATTTTTAAGAGAGGGAAAACGTAGTTCACGTCTTTAGCCTAAATAGAAGAAACCTGTGGAGGGACTGAAATACCACTTTGGGTATATTAGTTACAATTCATTAATAAAAGAATTACATTTTATGTATTTAGAATGCCAAAATTAAAAATAGACAGGTTAGAGATTAATTTCCCCAGACTATAAAAGTAATCACATAACCACACAGCAAATGATCCAGTGACGTGGTATGCTTGTCTAACCTCAGGACCTCAGGTTTTCTATTTCCATTTTTCTGAAATAAAATTGTGTTTCTGAAAATTTGACAGCAGCATAAAAATATACTCTTACTGTGTAGCTTGCTAAGCTGTATCTCCTTTCTTGATCATCCATAGGTATTAATCCCAACACTTCCATGGTGTATATATTCACATCCAAACTGCTCAACCTGGCCTACCAGGACTTCCAGAAGTGGATCCAGTCTATCTTTACAATTGTATGATACATTACACCACTCTTTCTCCCACTCGATTCATATTTTAACCACATTGTTGACTGTATATTTCTTAGGTACATAACGCAATTTTTGTCTCGAGACAGTTCTAATGGTTGTCCTGTCCCTGCCTGCCTTTTATCATATGCCCATCTCAGGCATACACTGAGCACACAATTGGCATGCTCTTCACACATTCATTGCTCCAAATTATCTTTCTAAAAACTTCAACTTAAAGGTCATCTTCTCCATGAAGACTGCCTCATGCACACCTCATCCAGCCTTAATTTCTTGCCTCATAACCACTTTACCCCATCATGCAGTATATTATCATTTATTATTCGTGTACTTGTGATATTCTTGATGTATCCTCAATTAATAGTATTTGTGTAATAAATTGGAATCATTTAACTTGACTTCTTGTCTGTGTTTGTCTTGGTGTATGAGGGTGAGGGACTGATCAAGGATAACGGAGAATCAAAGCATCAATTCAATGATGCCAAGGACCAGGAACAGTTTCTGGAGTCCTCCTTTTTATCAATGCTTTATCAAATGGGACAATCTATAAATAACCCTATAGATAGAAAACAGTTGTAAGAACGATTGTCAGCCATCTCTTGTCAATAAACGGTGGGATAAAGTTGAAAGGAAACTGTGATCACGAGTCACATTTTACTAGTTGGTCCTGTCTCTAATTTATTTGCTGTGCTATGTGAACTTGGGGCAGTCTTCTCCCTTTGTGGGCCTCAGGTTTCCCATCTGAAGATAAGCAGTTTGCAGCTAAAGATTTCCAACTTATCTTTCTGTTTCCATACTCTGTGCTTTTGGTAATCACAATTATTAAGTTTGCGGTTGGGACAGCAATCAGGGCTATTTGATGTTATTTGATAAATGGTCTAGCAAGGCATCTGGGATGATGATATTTGTTCTAAATTCCTCTGACAAAAGCTAATCAAAGGTTTCTTCCTGAAAATTGTCTTAGAGATAAAATTTCCCAAGTAATTCCCATTCTATGAGGCATGGGTCTACCTACAAACAACACTGATACAATAGGGTACTGTATTCATAATTTCAGCTTGATTTATGGTATTGAGGTAAATTTATACAAGCAAGAGTATGAGAACCCATTGGTAGTCACCCTCTGCGTTTCACGACTATTTCCCTCCACTGGAAAACCTCTGCTCACTCCACAAACAGTCAAGTAGGCTTAATCTATGTCTTCCAGACAGCTTCTGTCTGGGACTCCCTGTATAGGGTTTTGTTGAACAACATTGAGGAGCAGGGATTGTTTAGAATGTGGACTTTGGAATACAAAATACTCAGAAGCAAATTGTAATAGCTACATTAGGTACTAGCCCTATGGTCTTGGGCAACCTTTTTTTTTTTTTTGGAAGATTGTCCCTGAGCTAACATCCACGCCCATCTTCCTCTATTTTGTATGTGGGACACTGCCACATCATGACTTGTTGAGCAGTGTGTAGGTCTGTGTCCGGGCTCCGAACCCATGAACTCCAGGCCTCTGAAGTGGAGCATGGGAACTTAACCACTACACCACCAGGCTGGCCCCTTGTGCAACCTTTTTTTTTTTTTTTTTTTTTGGTGA